TTTTTTTAAAAAAAAAGTTTGTTATTGATCGGCATTATGTTACATCACCTAATTTTGATTTAATTAGGGCATCTCACGCCCCATCCATTGATGGTCCATTGGGTCCATTAGTGCAACACTTTAACCATATTTAGTATTTTACTAATGGCAATGGACCGGTCCAAAATCCATCTGTTCTCAATGGACCAGTCAATTTTCCAACTCTGTCTTGTCCTGCTACTCCTAATGACAACAATAATGACCACAATATCACCAAATCAGCACAAGCATTAAACAATCCAATATACAACATACAAAATTGTGGGTTTTATCTTGAGAATCTGAATAATGATGGGTTAGATGCTGTTGTATGTTTAATAAATAAACAAACATTAAAGAAGATAAGTTCGTCAGGATATTGGTGTCTTGTATTGAAGGGAAATTTTTTTAATCAAAAAAATTATTTATTGCTTTTCACAAAACATCTAACAAATAATTTGCCCATTATTAGATTTATTAATGCCATAGAAGTCACATATTCAAATTTAAATAGATTTTTTAATTTATTTAGATGATTTAAAAGTAAATATTTTTAAAATCATTCATTTATTATTATGTTGCAGTAAATCATCAAAAGGTAAATATTACATTATTTATTTTTTCTATTTGGTTGGTATATATATTTACTAATCTCATGTAACAATTTGATTGGTGGGGGATGTGTGAACTGTATGTTAATATTATTTAGATATATATAGCACATTAATAAATGAAATCTTGAACAAGAATCCGTACATTTCAACATATTATATCATTTTTGATGATAATCAACAAGCATCCTCCTCACCAACTAATTATTTCAAATATTGTGTTGAAAACTTAAAAAGCAATTTAGAATCTCGTTTATTTGGATTAGTGGATATTTTTAATCCTAAAAACATTAATGAAGAAATGATATTTGACTATGGTAAAAAGGAGATAGACAAAATTGGAAGGTTTAGGGTTGTATTCATGGATACCATAAGGAGGTCACACAGGGTTACACACCATTAAAATCAAGTGTTTTTAAGGGATTTTTTGCTGATTTATTAGTGTGTAACCCCCTTAACAGTATTCATGGTATCCGTGAATACAAACCCTACTTATTGTCCTACTTCTATGCACATAGGGGTCCTCAGGTGATCCTGCATATTGCAGGAAGACCCAATTCATTGCATTGGATACTACCCCATACATTTGTACTGGAATTTCATTTTCATCTTCAACAAAATGACGTTTCTTTGATATCACCTGTAACAAAAATTGTAAACAAAAGAAGATGTAATCAGTAATAAGAATAATATGACAGTTGCTTACTTCTGTTGCACTATGCATTTCTGCAATATTTTGAGCAATCCCTTTGTCAAGGTCAAATTTTTTTGCTTCTGTGACCATAATAACTGAATCAAACTTCTCAGAATAGATATCAAAATCTGTAACACCATATGCACAACTTCCAGTAAGTTGTTCCTCAACCCTGATCCTCAATGACCTTGCAAAAAATTACTGCAGTGGCAAAAAATGGGAAAATGTAATGATGACATGTTGCCTCATTTAGGAGAATATCACCAAGAATTGCAGAGTTTCTTGATAACTCTTCATGCAATTTTTTGATAAGTTCATCAGGAATAGAGGTTGGTTTTTTAATATCACCTTGAAATATATATATGTAAGATGTAGAAAACATAATAACAAATGATTACCTTTCAGTCTAATAAAAACAAACCAATATTTAATTATCTAAGTAATAAAATGAACCCATTACCAGGATCAAAAGTATCCAAGCTTTTTCATTTCACAATATCTGTTAAAACATCATTTAAACTCCATTCACTGTAGGGTTTTTTACCTTTCAAAGAAAAGAAAACCAAGTAAATATTATGTTTGTTACTGTATTCAATTTCAAATGACAAACCTTTGATTAACAGTGCCATGCTGAATTCAAGCTTTCCTCCTTTAACTTGATCTGATATCCAATTATTAAATATAAATTCATTAGTTAATTCAGTCCCATTTTCTTTTTCCTTAAAACAATAGTTATCAGTGCCCTCCTCCAGATCATTAAAAATTTTTTTTGCTTCATTACACATATTATACCATAACCCAGTTGTATGTGGAAACTTTTTTCTAAAGCGTTGTTTGCCAAAGTTGCAGCAAATTGTGACTTCCAATAATGTCAATGGGTAACATACAATAAGGGGCTCAGTACCTTCATCCAGGTTTACAATGAGAGTGTGATATGGAAGATGATGATCCCTATTGTTACTAGCAAAGAACTTCAATGAATCTGTAGCACTTGATCCAAGTTGATTTTACATTCAACACACAGCCTACTTGCTGACTTGTGGTCAAAATTTCTTTTATCTTATGGCCTACTTACCTGGATAAAAGATCCCTAGGTTATTTAACTAACTATATCCCAAAGGCATCTCCTTGAGATGTATCTCAATAATTAAAAGGGTTCCCAACTAATGATTAAAGGTTGGCAGACCATTAATCATTAGAAGGGCTGGGAATCAATCACATTGGGTTTATTAGTTAATTATGTCAAAGACTATTTTATGTAAGGTTATATATTTATTTAGAGTGTTAGGAATTATTATTATGTTATTGTTATCAAGATTGTTATTAACAATATTATTCTTAACTTGGTCTAAAACCAAGTGTATTTATACCTCTTGGAGCAATACAAATAATGTGATTTGTGCTATTCTACTCTCCAATAATATGCTTACTAATTAATTACTAATTCTAAATAAATATTTACATCAAATGAGTAATACATGAAATACATAAGTAGAAATATGAATATAAAGATCTTCAGTATAACATTACATGATATGCAGCACAACTGTTACAATAATATATAGAAAGATAGTTGTAGCGCATCACATGACTTCCGTAGTAAGTTCGTTCTAATGGTCAATATTAACCAAGCAATTGATGGGTCCAAGATTTACTATCTCACATTATATAAAATATCTATTTTATCCAAATAAACATAATCATCAATTGTAGATTCTTCAAGAGTAATTTTGTAATGATTTAGGACTGTTTCTAATTTTGAAATTTGAGCAGTGATATTCTTACAAATACTAGTTCTATCTATAATTGTGATATATACATATAATAATGTTACACATTTACTAATGATCATATTAGTATGTGATGCCAAGAGACACCTACCCTAAATTGTTCCCAAAGCTTTTCCATTCCTTTTTTGTAAAGAGGCCACTTAATTGATTGAATTTATTATTCTCAGGCAGAAATATTATGCCATAACAAGCAATTCCTTTATCAATTGTTGTAATTCTATTTGACCACACACTACCTTTCTTTAAATAAGAAATTTGTCAATATTTAATTATATGGTTTGGGTCAACATTTCATAAAAAGATACAAACTTCTAGTGGAGGTATGTCAACATCATCATCATCATTGTGATCAACATTATCTGGTATATTTGGAATAGAAGAAATAATACCTTTCAAAAACATATCCTGATCAGTTTTTCTTAAATCAGGAAAATACTTATATATCTGGTTTCAATTTCATGATCACTTTCTTCTGCTTCATCATGGGTTAATTCAATTTTTTCTTCACTTTTATTAATATCTAAACTTGGAAGATATTCAATTTGTAAATTTTCAAAAGAATTTTGTAAACCAATTAAAAATGAAGATGTCATTTTTGGTTTATGTATATAAAATATTTTATTGTTATTTATTATTATAGCATTTTGTGTTACAATTTTAATACCCCTGTATTTTGTTGATCATTCCCTATTTTAATTTACATCGTTTATAATTTTTTAACTCAAATTCGTCCTCAGGGACGTTGGTCGCGTTTCTATTGTCCATACCCGATATACACAAGATGAATTATTTTATAGTGCAGGACATCTATAATGGTCAATGATTATCACATGACTTTAAAAGCTTATAACTCCTTATTAAAAAAGAA